ATATTGCTTCCACATGGCATACTTCTGTGAAACTGTTTAAGAACAGATACCATGATAAATACAAAGTGACTTGATGGTAGGAAACAATTCTAAAGAGCAGAATATGAATCACTATCAGAAGATGCTTATAATTTTTTTAGAATGTGCTCAAAACGTGGATCAAGGAAGATAAGCCTGGATTAATTAATACGTGCGCAATAGCTATTTTACATGGGAATTGAAAACAGCTATAGAGAAAAATCTACCTGATTAGAGAAGCAGTAAGTTACAATGAGAGAAAGGCTAGACAACAGATAACAACAGTAAAGTAACATACAGGGAAAAAACCCACCCTGATCCATTGTGTTAATGTAATATTGTGTACACTGTGTAAAATTTTCCTTGGCACTGGGTGATGATTTAAGAAACTAGAAGGAGACAAAGTTGACATGCTACGTGTTTTAAGATCTATCCATTGACAATTTTTTATCTAGTTAGTAATTTTTAATTGAAATTTATTGGTTACTGATGGCATTTTCTAGGGTTCTTTTTGGTCTTCGTTACGGGTGGTAAATAAGCAGGAACAATTCAGGTTTAAATGTGACCATTGATTAGTTTTACACTTGAAGAGATGAAAACTGTGGGCTGTATTTCGAAGAGTGGGGAATCACTTGTAGAAATATGCAGTGGTGGGCGGAGGGGTCTTTGGGATGGTACACGGAACAATATATTTAAGACATGCTCTGGCCCTAATGTTTCATATGACCATAATGACAGGAATTGCACGTTCGAGTACAGAGGCCGTGTTAACATCCCTAGCTGGTGCACATGGGACTGCTGCTGGCGTGCTTTGTTCTGAAGGCTGCTGGGCAAATTCTTGCTTGCTGCAAAAGCCTGCTGTAAAACTTTGTGTATATTCACATTGTCATATTTTAAAGCCTTTTTGATTTGAGGCAGTGAGTGGGAGCCTGGGTAATATCCTACAGCTGAGCTCTTGGTTCAGCTGCAGTGAATCCTGGTGGTGAAATGCCTTTTTGCTCTGGGTCACTAGCTTGGATATTTTTTTGGAACTCTGATGTTTATTCACCTATTGCATATGAACATCTCTTACACATAAAACGTGCCTAATATTGGGTTTAAAACTGACAGTGAAACACTGCTTTCTGCAAGCTGCGGTGCATAACCTGTTCTGGATTGCTCTCCGCTTCTGTATTCTGGTGGTAGAAATACAAAATGGAAATGAATGTCTGGCACTGAAATTGTGCAGGAAACATCATACCTGAAAATGCATGCAATTTCCTGTCTAGCACCGGCATTTCTGACATTTTCATTGCACATATAATCCACTCTTCAGCTGAGATTTTCTTCTGAATCTTTCGGTGTTTTTCTTTCATGCAAGATTGATAGCAGAAGGTTGCAATACAGCTCTTAAGTTTGGGGCATATTTTAAATGGAGCTCAGGTTCCTCTTGTCTCTACAGAATGGTATTTCTGTTGTGATGACTGAGTTTTACACACAGGCACTTCTGAAAAACTCTCTTAAATTTTATTATTTATTTAAGCTGACTTAGTGGCTTAGTTCACACCTCACTGTTTAAAGTCCTGTTCCTTAAGTGTTCCCCCCTAATTGAGACCAAGCTCACTTCAGAAATGTATTTTCTTTACAGGAATTCAACATTCTCTAACTGACTACACAGAAATTTATGGGCAGGTACACGCAGTGCTTTTTCATTTACTTTGTGCAACTGGCAGTAACAAAGCTTATAGTAGTTGCAACAGTAAAGGATTTCTTTTTTGGGCTTTTTTTATTATTTGGTGGCATCCCATGTTGAGGCAACTCTGACTTCACTTGGTAATTAAAACTCATTTGTGAAAGACCTTTTCCCTATTAATTTGATCCATTAAAGAAATGCTCTTTGAAGCTGGTAGTTAATCTTCCTATTTAAATTGCTGGGTTTTACTCAGATTGGTTACAGCTTAGTTTTAAATGGCAGCTAAAAATAGCAAATTGTTGTGCTGTGCAGTTTAAATATCTATCTATAGTAGTACCCTTTCTAGAAAGAAAATACCTAGTAAGAAGGAGAGGAGACTGCTGCTGCTTGGACAGCACCGGTTGGTACCAGCTTTGCACGTTTCCTTGAGTTTTGCCCATTGCAAAGTTGGGCAGCGCTCCAGCAGGCAGCACTTGATTCTTTTATTCCAGGATTAATTTTTAACATAAGTGCTATGAGCTTGATTTGAGCATGTTTCAGTTTGTCATAATATAAAACTTCAATGGTTGAGCAGTTTTGACCATTTATGTTGAAGTCTGCTGCTAAGTGTGCTAAAACTGGGCAAAAGTCTAGAAACTAGACCAAATATTTTCAAGGCTTCCAGAAAGAAAATACAAGGGAAAGGGCTGAAATTGCAGCTTGTGAGGTTAGCATCTATTTTCATCTCTTGCGTTGTCCTTCTCTAGATGCCCTTTGTGATTCACATAAGCCTAACAAACTCATAGACTTGAAGTGCACACCATTATTGCCAAAGCATTGGGTTTTTACTTTAAAAGCATCTGCAGTTGAAAAGGAAGCCATGACAAAACTGCAGGCATCTAGGCAGATGGAAACCAATTACTTGGAGTAATTCTCCCTTGAGTTTCTATTGTAGGAGGAACTTTCTGCAGGCGAAGGGATTGTGAATGAGTAGCCAACAAAGAAAAATCAGAGCTATAAAGGTGAATCTAAGGCAGCATAATTACTTGTTTTACCTTTGTCAGTGAAATCTGTGGTCCAAGAAAGAGGACAAAGAGAATCCAGATGTCTTTTCACCTCCACCTGTAGTTTTCCACCAAGAGAAAAGATATTTGAGGCCTGTCTTCAGTAAGAAATTTTTAATCGGTCAGGTTATAGCTAAAATATTTTTTCAGTATTGTTAAAGGTCAGACTTCTTATAATGGCTGTTTCCAGATATACCTGTATGTCAGGAACCTCAAGCTTCTCAGACCGAGATATCCATTACTAGAGCAGTAACATGTGTTGTCACAGAGAAATTGAACGTGAAGAAATCTGCAAGATGGGCAATATTGTCAGATATTTTAGGCTACCCTTCTGAGGAGCATGAGCTTATATTCACAGAAACCAGAACTATTGTATGTCTGGAATTTTTTTACTACTAAACCATAAGTTAGTTTTCCAAAGACCTCCATTATTATTGCGTTGATATATTCATGTTTCTTATGACATAGAATTACTATTTCTGTGATCTAGTAGCCTGATTTTTTACACCAAAGGAGAAAACATAATCCTATTCTTAAATCTTATAAAATTCACGATTCTGAAAGTCAAGGTCCTAGTGCTTCCTTCTGCTGGCAGTGGCAGGGGGTAGGAGGAGAGGATGGCGAGGTTGGGGATGGATAGGGATGCTGTACAGTTTTATGAAGTTGGAAAAAATTAAGGTAATCATAGAAGAGATTCTGATAGTTTACTTTGTTTTTATCGGAGCTCATTAAACTTCTTTCATGTTTCAAAGCATTCATGCTTCCAGTGTCAGTCTTCGTAGTATTGTCGCTTGCATGTTTCTGTGTAAACTAAGCAGGTTTTGGGTGGTTGTGGGTAGCACATCAGGTAAAGGACTGAAAATATGTTCCTTTGTGTATGTATTTGACTGCTTACATTGAATTTGGTTAATTATTTCCCAGGCAACATCAGCTTGTGAACAGCTTTCCTCTGTCATTTGTGGTACCTCTTACAAGATGTGTGCTAATTAGAAAATGCTTTTGCACCGATCTGCAGACTTAGCAACATGAATTTGGCAGTGGTAGTATGTGACTTTTGTATGTACTGAAATTTGAAGAAAGTAATTCCAAAACTGTTGGTAGTATATACAATGAGGTGGGTTATTTTCTGTCTTCAGACACTTAATCTCTTTCTGATAACATTAAAAGGCATGCAACTTTGAATTATAAAAGCAGTGTTTGTAGGCATATGTTTATCTTATGACTTTTGTGAAAAAGCCAATGGAAAAAAGGGGATCCTACAGATTAAGTGAACTGCCTTTTGCATCTTGGGTGTATGCTAAATGAAGATAGGGTGCCTTCAGAAGACATAAATGTATAGAAAGAAAAATGGATAATACTACTGTATGCTTCTGTGCTGTCCATTTAAAAATAAAAGCACATTTAACTGCAGTGGCATAATTTCATCAGGGACGACAGCAGCATTGAGTTCTTGTTCAAATGTAAGAAAAATTTTGATCTTCCATCTCAAAATGCTTAGTTCAAAACTCGTGTGACAGATGCATGAGAGAAATGTGAACTGGTGTGTGTACTAGGCAAAGGGAGAATTATCTGCATTACTGACTGACGGAGAGTCTCAGTTGTTTTGGTGCTTGCTCTTTGTGAGCTGTCCTTTACTTCATGCGTCGTGGGCGAGGCGAGTCTAACACAGGCAGTGGAAGGAGAATGGGCAACTTTTTTACGGTTGGACTTTTCCAGTATAGAGGAGACTATGGAATGAGCTATACTGGAGAAAGAGAGCTGTGAAAGGGACGTTCTGGATCACTTGAAAAGCAGAACACCTTATGCTAAATCAGTATCCTTGCTTATCTGACCCATTAGGTGGGCTTTGTAAGGATAGTAAAAAGGCAAGAACTTGGAGAGTGTACACAATACTACTGGAGCATCAAGCTGGAATAACTTTCACTGTTGTATTTTGAATGGGGTTAGGAAAGAGGAAGGAAACGGAATTTGGAAGCTGGAGAGGCAGTCAAGGTATGAGATAAGGACTTCAGGAACGGTTCAGAGTACATAGATGTCTGTTTGAAGAACTGATCTTGTTGGAAGACTCTGTGGGCTTGAACTTAGTTCTGGCAGAGCCCAGCTGCAGCAGAGTTGTATACGCAGAATTACATTTACACTTCTAAACAGAAGTTCTAAATGACTCAACTTTGATAACTGGTTAATTGGCTACTGGGCAACTTAGTTTTAAATTTAACTTGCACAGAGAACTCTGCTTCCTGTATTAACCCCAAACTTTGTTTATATAGGATTAGCTCAGAACGCAGGAAAGAGAAGTCAAGAGATGCCGCCCGGTGCCGGAGGAGCAAGGAATCGGAAGTATTCTATGAGCTTGCTCATCAGCTGCCCCTGCCCCACACTGTGAGCGCACACCTGGACAAGGCATCCATTATGAGACTGACCATCAGCTACTTGCGCATGAGAAAGCTGCTAGATGCTGGTAAGCGAATAACGTAGCACAATCTGGATAAGGGGCTGGAGGTATATTGAGGAGGAAGCTATTTCTCAAATCTATCAGCAGTTAAATAAATACATTAATAGTTGCATCCTTTCTATGGGGAGGTGGAAAACCTTACAGTAGAAATAGGCTATTGATCATGACACTGGAAAAATATGGCCACTGTTCAACAGTCTCAGTTTTCCCCTTTCTGTTCTAATCATCCTAGTTGGCTCATCACAGTAAGGTGGTGCCATGTTCAGTCTCAGCTATTTGAACCTTCTCCCAAAGTTAATTTCTTTCATTTAACCCTCTTTTTTTCCCCTGGAGTTGGTTGCTCCAACTGTGCTTTACTAAGCTGTAGGTGGTTGGTGGAATGCTGACTTAGCTAACTGTAGGTGTTTCCCCTTAATATAAACTGCAAAGAATATTTTTGTAATTTCTACTCCACTGGAGGTGAAGTTAGCTGAAGGATATGTCTGTATCTCTGCATGTGTAGACAGTTAAGCTACACATGCAACTATAGGAGTATCTGACTTTAGGTTCTGAACCAGTATCTGTATAGCATGCCATGGATGCTGTACTGGTTATTTGTGCTAATGCATGTCTAGCTATACCGTATGGAGGAGTAACTCTGGTAGCCATACTCTGAACTATTTCCTAGGAAGATCCTGAGAAAAGTTTGTAGTGCCTTTTTGAGATGAATGGTAATATTTTTGCCACATAGACTTTTTCGTTAAGGTGGAAGATTTATTGGTTTATCTGTAAAAGCACAGAGGTTTAACCTCACTCTGATGCTCTGTGATTTGTGATACCTTTACCAGAGGTTGAAGAATTTGACTGATCACTTAGGTAAGTGAATTATACTGGTTTTGAACAGTCCTGCAAGACTGACTCCTTGCAGACTGCTGCCAGAAGTCATTCCTGTAAGTGAAGAATGGCTGATGTTTACTTAACAATGTGTGGCTGCTTGTAGGTGAGCTGGAGACAGAAGCCAAAATGGAGAAGGAACTGAACTGTTTCTACTTGAAAGCTCTTGATGGATTTGTCATGGTTCTGTCTGAAGATGGGGACATGATTTATATGTCTGAAAACGTGAACAAGTGTATGGGACTCACTCAGGTGAAATACTGACATTTCTTAAGACTGTGTCAAATCTGTAAAAGTTGTTATGTTTTTGTATATGCAAAGTTAGACACCCGTATACCTCTTGTTTTTTGCAGTTTGAGTTGACGGGGCACAGTGTATTTGATTTCACTCATCCATGTGACCATGAAGAGCTGAGAGAAATGCTCACACACAGAAATGGTGAGAAGAAAGAGAAAATCGATTTAATTTACTTACGGATAGTTCCTGTTGGTGTTAGTACAGTTGGATATCTGCCAGAAAAAGGTGTTGAGAGAACAAACTAGTATGTTTTGCTGCTTAGATCTCAAAGGAAGCCTTGTTCAGAGATACTAACAACAGAAATAACCAGGATGTTTTGGCAATATTGTAATTGTAGGAGAGATGAGACTTCATTAGTACTCTTTAGTCATCAATTTTGTTTTAGAATAAAACAGAGTTATTGAGGGTTGAAAGAATTAGCATGCCTACAGGAATAAAATTAGAGGTAGGTTGAATGTGAATGATCTTAAGTAATTGCTATAGAAGGATATGGAGAAGTTAAATGGATGCATTTGTCTTGGTCTGGGCTTGCCTTTACAGGCCAACTTAAAAGCAAATGTTTTTTTCCAGAAATCTGTGGTGGCATACTTCAAAACACAAAAAAGGTACTATATTTAGGACAGCAGAAAACTAATCGGGGAGTACTTGGACAGCCCCAAAAAGGGCTTTGGGACTGATGCTTCTCTGCGCCTTTTAATTGGTGCATGAAATTGCTATCTTTTCACAGATTTCTGACTCTTTTCTCCATCCAAGGGAGTAGAACACTGTGTTCACATATTCTGTATGCTTTTGAATTTAACAAACGCCCATGAATTACTGCCTTTAAGTCTTCTAAAGGTTTGTTAATGACTATAAGGACTTGGCAACCTGCATGCCTTCAAACAAACCTGGTTTACTCAGTTGTTGGAAGTCTAAAATCTGACCTCTCTAATTCCTGTTTCATCAAACAAGGGTTATATGGACTCTGAATCTAGATAGTGATAAACTACCAAGCCTGACCTCTGCTTTCGTGGCACTGTAAATAGGAAGTCTTTTATGTTCTCCTTCTATTTAATTCAGTGGAAGAGACTTGATAAGATATCACAGTGTTAAGGGCCCTGACTTTGATTTTGTAAGCATTTTCTAAACTTGTCTGCCCTTAGTATTGAAGTGTGTTTCTAAGGCTAGATGAGACACTAGCTCCCGCCGCTGCCGCCTCCCGCCTTTTGGAATACAGTAATGCATCTGGGGGGTGGTGTGGGGAAAAAACTTCACTAAAGCAGTGTAAAAAACTGGGCTTGTTGCAAAAGCTTATTCTTAAAAATGTCGTATTACTAAGTTTCATGCAAACCAACTCCAACGTGTCTAAATTGACCAGGCTGGAATAAGATGTCTGGAAAGCATTATTACAAAATCTGTTTCACAAATGAAGTTGGCAGACAAACGTCTAAATTACAGTAATAATAGCACATTTTTATATTTATTAGTATTCCCAGGCTTCATTCTACTGCTGCTCTTACATCAATGGAATTATTTTGGTTTTGAATAGAGTATTAAATACTCCCCTTTGAGGTTGTACAGGTGCAAAGGAATATAAATGTGATTGGCGGAAACTGAACTGCATTTTGATTTTACAAAGTTGCTTTTTAAACTTTCAAAGATGGCTATTTTAAAAGTAATGCCCAGTGCTGAATCAGGCTTGAGAAAATGGCTCCATCTTTTACAGTTGCTTCTGAAAGCAGAACCTTAAGCATCAGGAGTTCGTAACAATAACATTGTGTGATCTCAACCATGAATTTCTAGATTGGTTTAACTCTTTTAAAAACATACTGAATTAAAGACGTTTTGGCTCCTTCTCTGAACTTTGCTTTTTTTTCTGCCCCCATTGCTTTATGGAGGCTATTTTGCTGTGGCATAAAGTAGGTTTGTCACCATTAGTCTTCGCCTCTGCTGGAAGCAATAGACTATGTAGCATAGGGGCTTCAACCTTTCTCTAATGAATTTTGTCAAACTAGTAGCCGCGGTGCAAGCCACCATGAAGAATTTCATAGCTACTGCTGTCTGTGGAGGATGAGAACAAGCTATTGTATAAACTTGCATAAGAAGTAAGCTCACATGTTCTAATCTTCCACCCCATGCTATGATTTGGTCCTCACTCCTTAGCACGTGTCGCCAAACTCATGCTTCCACTGCTCTTTATCCTAGGTGCTTTATTTCAGTCTTCCTTACACAGCGAGCTGCTTGCAGCTTTCCTGATAGGATCAGTTTGCATTTTCTCTGCCCAGAATAGCTTAGCTAATCGACTCTGAAAGGTTCTCCCCTATAAAGGCGAACACTTAACTTAAAGCCTGCTGTTAGTAAGTAAGGCAAAAAAACTAGTGCTGCTAATATTAATTTATATTAGGATTTCTTGACTCTTCTTTTTTTCCCCAAGAATGCTAACATTTAAAAACTTGGTCCCCATTTACTCTGAGTACAAGTAACTGTGGAAATACTCAGATGCATATAAACAGCAGAGTTAATTCTGAATTTAAAAACTTAAAATACTGCAGTCCGGAAGAGCTATGGGCCCAAAATGTATTTGTATTTGATTTGAACCAAATCAAATCAAACCAAATTGAACCAAAGAAACACTGATTTGAGCAGTGACTTACCGATGCATTTAAATGGAAACCAACTTGACAGTACTTCTCGTTCTGCATGTGCTTTTCTTGTCCCCTGTCACAATTTTAAAATACATTAAATTTTCAGTCAGCCTCTCTTTCTCCCCACGCCTTTTTCCTGAAATCTGGGAGTGTGGAGTTGGCTACAAATACGATACTGATCTTAGAACATTGACACTTAAGTTTTTTGCCTACCTCACAGTAAAACTCATTCTGAAAAGTGTTATAGAATCATAGAGTAGTTTGGGTTGGAAGGGACTTTTAATAAAGGTGTTCTAGTCCAACCCCCTGGCAATGAGCAGGGACATCTTCAACTAGACCAGGTTGTTATCGAAAGTGCTGTTAGGCTTATCAATCTTCTTAATTTGTTTTTTTGGGTCTTACCCTAGTTTCAGAGTTCTGTAATACGGGTTTTTTAATGCCTTTCGAAGATGATCCAAGAGCTTAAAGAATTGGTTTACTATTTGCTTTCGCTAGGTCCTGTGAAAAAGGGTAAAGAGCAAAACACGGAGCGCAGCTTTTTTCTCAGAATGAAGTGTACACTGACTAGCAGGGGAAGAACAGTGAATATAAAGTCTGCTACGTGGAAGGTAACTAATGCAAAAGAATATTTACATAGGTTGGCAGCTTCTTCAGATGTCATAACTCACTGTATTTCAACATTTTTACTTCATGTAACAAGCTTTAGTTTCACTAAGTACTTAACTAATTTAATATGCTTCAATATGCTGAATTTTAATGATGAATACATCACAGAGGTAACTGAAACAATGTTTTAATATTAGTTTTTCAAAACTCTTTTAATGAATTCCCCATTTTAAATTAGAGGTCATTCACTTGCTAGAAATTATAACGACTGAATATGTTTGCGTAAAGCCTCTTCCTGTGAGGAAGAAAAATACTTGACACCACTTATGCTGATACCTGATCACTTTTGATTTGACACTGTAAATGTGACAGTTGAGGTCTCTCTGAAGGACTTCAATACCATTCATTCATTC